CTATTTTATTTATACAAAATGAATTTGCTACAGTTAACTATTTGCTATACTATAAATTAACTATTTTTATAAACTTTGGCTATAAAATAATAATAAAAATAATAAAATAGAAATATAAAATAAAAGATAAAATATAATGATTATAAAAATAAAAAAAATAATAAAAATAATAATTATAATAAAAATAATAAATATGTAAAGAATTTAATAAATAAGCCAATCAAAATAAATCAGGTGAATTAGATAAATTTTGCAAATTTTTCTAATTAAATAAATCAGCCTAACTTTTTAATGCAGTATATTGATCAAGATCTTTCTTAATATAATCTACATAAAATTAATTTTAATAACTTTGTAAATTATTTTTCTAAGACAAATTTTCAATGTTGATAATACTTAAAATTAAATGAGAACATGCATTTAGAGAAAAATATTTAGTATATGTATTTAGAGAAGATTGACTGTACACTAATTTTGTAATACTGATTTAAGTAACACTGATTTTTATTATTATCACTTAATTATGTAATATTGATTATTATATCTGATTCTGAAATTTAATTGAACATTTTTACATAGTGACTGACAAATATTACATAGTCTCATATATAATTGAAAAGTTTTCCATTATGTTTCAGATAATAATTAAAAAATTTTTATAATATAATATTTATTTATTTAAATTTCAATAAAATTTTTGATTATATAAATTAATAATATTTATTAAAATCTATAATTTTAAAATAACTTTTTTTTTAAATTTTAAATTTGATTTAAGGTTAAAAAATTTTTTAGAAATTTAAATAAATATATTTATTATAAATTAATAAATTAAAATATTTAAATTTAAATATTTAAAAAATAATTTAAATAAATATCTTTAATAAAATAAAAAATCTGATTGACAAATTTATTTGATTATAATAAAAACCATTATTTATTATAAATTAAAATAAATTATATTAGAATTGAATCAAATTAATTATATGATTTTCATAATTAAAGAATTTATATAAATAAGTTTAATTTTATAATTGAAAAATTAATTATTTTAAATTCTTTTATAATAATTCTGGTTAGTTTCGTATGAAAAATTTTTTCATTTAAAAAAAGAATTTTAGTTTCTAATCTAATTTTGAGCGTATAACTGTGATTAATCAAATGGATCAATAAAAAAAATTTTATCAACATTTAGATTTTCCTCTTTTTTACCCATATATAATAAATTTTTAAATAAACAAACATATAAAGATCATATAATATGTTTATATTATAAAGACAATTTGTTAGCATTATTAGATTGCAAATAGAAATACTTATTTTATAATATAGAAAGAAAACAGTTAATAAAAGAATAGTTTTTGATATTTAGAAAAGAAAAATCATTTTTTTTTTTTTGATACTAATATTTTATTTCAAAAGATTTTCTTTCTAAAGTTATAAGAAGCATTTACACTATATACAGTATTTCCAAAAATAAGCTCCTTATAATAATTTCATTTTCTTTATTCATCACATGATTTTATTACGCTAATTGATATGATAATAAAATGTTAAAATAAAACAAAATCAGTTTATTTAAACCCGAACGTAGATATTAGAATTTCATGTTTTAATGCATTTTTTATATTAAACATCATTTCAATTATTATTGTAAATCTTTTTTTTCCTTTTGGGATGTGTACATAAATGAAGTTTAAATGTCCAAAAATAAAAGTATTCATTCTGAGGTCCAAAAAAATAATTAATATTATATTTAAAAAATATTCATAAACAAGAAAGATTTAGTTTTACGTACCAAATTTAATGCTTCTTGACAATTTAGGTTTAATACCAGTCTTCTCACCACCGTAAGATCCTTCTTGTTGAACCACAACTCTTTTGAAACTTTTGATTCTTTTCTTTGCCTTCTCGTATCTATTACGATGCTTTACGCGTGGATTGCGTTGTTCTTTCTTACGATGTGGTATAAGACCTTTATTCTTGAGTATCTGATAATTAATCTGCCGTTTAGAACCATCGGGAAGTATGTCTTCTTCATATACAACTCTATGGATTTTATAGCATATGTAAATATTTCCATTATGATTTGAATCAGACATAAAAAAAAGCATATTTTCTTACTTATTGTTCTTGACCAACTGTTCGTGTTCCAATTTCTTTTGTTCCTCTTTAGCTTTCTTAGCTTTCTGCACTGTTAAATAGAATGCATCTTCTTCACCTCCGTTTTCAATATCGTTTGCTATCTTTTCATCATCATCATTCCAATCTAAATCATCCAAATCGTCACCATCATTCTGATTATTTACTGGTTTAACACTCTTATCCTTATCTTTATAAGGTATATCAGTATCCCCACTAAGACGAATCGCCTTTTCGCGCTTAGCTAAAGTCTATATTCAGTTGATACTAGTTAATTTCAATTTTTTTTTTTTAGACATATATATAAATAAATAGGAACCTGATCAATCTTTGCAATATGATGACGCAGTGATTTTCTTTTTTGTGTCTTATCATTAGCATCCACATCATCTAAAGCATCCAAATCTCCTAAATCCGTATCCTCCTAAATTTGAATAAATATCAATAAATAAATAAATAAATATTTATAAATATCATATATAAAAATAATTAAACTATGTACTCTTTTACGCTTTTTTTTCTTGCCCTTGAGGCTCACAAATTCTGGTTCAATCAATGTAACCGCAATGTTTGGTTGATCATCTATGTTCTCATTATCACTTTCTTCGCTCATAACTTCATCTAATTGTTGAGATTTTATCTTATTTGATTCCTTAGTTTTTTTCTTTATTGACTTTTCTTTATCTGATTTTTTCTGAGGGCTGGATTCTATCGATTCATTTTTTTCCTTTGACTTTTTAGTTTTAACTTTCTTAACTTTTAAATCAATTGATTTATGTGGTTGCTTAATTATTTCATCAACTAACACTTCTACATATATTTAAAGTATTAATATAAAAACCATAATATAAATTAATCACAAATAACTCTTAAATTAAAAACCTGAGACCGCCATATCATTTTGATCGATTTGTTCATCTGTTTCTAACTTATCGATAAACTCGTTAATTACATCTTCCATTTTACTTTCTAAGATCTCTAATTTGTCCCAAGTTGTTCTGATGTCTACAAGCGCGTCAATTACAGGATGCGTTCGTAAATGACGCGTTTCAGACGATCTCAAGAAAAGGTAAAAGGAGATATTGGTAAGATAATTAAACAATGTATGATATTTTATAGATAAAATTTTCATGGCTGGATCATCTTTAATGTTCCTTTTCTTGGCCCTAAATTCAATATATTAACATATTAGTTATGAAATTAAATTTAATATCACTCCATAAAAAATTTATTACTTTTCTAATATAGGTGTTAACGTATTCTTGAGTATCGAAAGTTTTTCTTTAAATTCGTTTAATAACTCAAGAAGCTCAGGTGATTCATCCTGTAATATTTCTATAATTTCGGTTCTGGAAAGGTTTGAATAATGATCTTTATTCATAATTTCCGGTTGGATTTCACTTAAAAAATTTTTGATTAACCAATCAAGAGAAATTAATATCAAGAATTTTAATTGGTGAAATTTGATTATAACGAGATGTTACCTACCCTTTGGATTCAAGTGATATTTTTTTAACCTCTTGGTTAAGTCTTTCCATGAGTTTTTTTTCATTCTCTTTATCCTAATTTTTTATTTAATTATATTAAAAAAAATAAATAATCAAGAAAATAATACAATAAAAATGAAGGAATGAATTATTTACCGTATCTTTTTTTGAAGCAGATCCAATGTCTTCATCAAAGAAATCTTCTTCGGACATTTTACTTATCCTTTTCTTTTGCAATCTTAAAGCTTCTTCCTCCTCTTCTTTTGCTTCATCAAAATCAGATAAATCATCCGCATCATAATAATTCATTTTACGAGTACCCCAAGTCTGTGAATCAAAATCATCGACATCATCATTATCGTCTGAAGACATTAAATCGTCTTCTTGATTTTCATCGTCTTCTTCAGATGATGTATCACCAGTTTGTAAAGCAAATACTTCTTCTTCAGATGATTCGGATTCTTCTATAAAATAAATTAGTTAGAATTATTTAAAATATAAAAAAGAATAAGATTGTATTAATTACCTTGTTTTTGACTGTCATCTATTAAAATTTTTCCTCTCCTTTCATGATCTAATTTAATTGATCAATGATTATTAAATAATATATCATATAATCGAATCGAATTCGATTTTAATAAATATGACTCGTGAGCTTAATAAGATAAATTACAATCATCTTCGGAATCATGTTCAATATCATCCCATGTATTTATGGCCTTTATTCTACCAGCCTGGTTATCATATCTATCATTACCAGTTTCGATTTGAATTGAAGGTTTATGAAAAGTTTTTTTTTTTCTACCCATTGCAAAAATTTTCAAAAAAGAAATAAAAATAAAATAAAAATAAAATTAAATAGAATAAATTAAAATTTTTTTTGGATAATCGGGAGCTTTATATCAATTACGTGATAAATGATCGTCACTTTTTTCATTGTTGTACAAATATTTTATAATCTGCTTATACTAGATAATAACGAATTAAAGATTTAGGGTTAACAAGTTCAAGAGTAAAATAAAATTACTCTAATTTTGATTACATTTTTTTTTATTTCGGGCAAGTCGTTAAAAAAAAAAAATGATAATAATGGCCTTGAACCAAGAATACCATTGTGTAAAAATATTTATATATATATACACGAGAAAAAGGAAAGAAGGAAGTGCCCATTCCACTGTTTTTTGAGAATATGAGAAACACGCGAGGGATTATTCGAAAGATTGTATGACAAGAATAATATCCTGTTTTAATGCAATCAGAAAATCGCAAAACGTCATTATGACTTGTGATAAATTAACTTAGCCATCACAAATATAAATAAGACACACCCGGAATGTCATTTTCGTCCGATAAGCCTTTTTATAATTTATCATGACTTCTCAACAAAGTATGGAAAATAGATACACACAAATTCATTCAAATTCATCAAAGGTAGATATAAATTATAAGAAAGGAATGAATCCAATTGATACAATTGATACCAATTTTATAGGCAGCAATAGTTCAAATCGAACACGCGTTTTAACGCCACAAGAAATAAGTAATACATTTCGAATAATGGCTTATCGTAAATCTGAGAGACAAGTTAGAGGTCGATATCGAAGACGATCATATACAAGAGTATTTTGGTTTATCATGTTTATGTTATTATATTTATCATTGATTGGGGCCGGAATTGGTGGTTTATTAAGTAAGTTGGACTAAAATTAATAATATTAAACATCTTGCAAATTTATATTTATGCGATATTAAATCCTTTAGAGAACGTTAGCACATGGAAAAGATGGCCAGAATTCGCGACTTTCGTGGTGGCAGTTTCTTTGTTGATGTACGTTTATTATAAGGTCGGTTTATTCGGGATCTTCATTTCACCACCGTATATGGTAATGCCGGTTAAAACTCATTCTTCGTTGATGTTTATAGATAACCGAAGTCGTAAGATGGTGTTTTTATTGGTAAAATTCCTAATCAGTATTATAAGATCCTTAATTTTATCGCGAATGTACCTTTTTTTAATTTATGATTCATCATTACATAGGTTAGCAATTGCTACTATAATTCTTTTGGTTATAAATCGAGGTTCGCTCACGCCTGACGACAAGGGTCCTGCACAAACTCGTACGACACGAATTGTGATAATAATTCTTTCCTCCGTTGAAGGCTTGACGTTGCTAATTTGGTTCATTATTCGCTATGTTTATCCACGTATAGTTAGGGATGTTAAATGGTTGGACACAATATGGTGGTGGAGAATAATACAATCAAATTATATTGGTTCCTATAAAGGAGATGCCGTTGGAATTTTTCATTATTTCGCCTGGGAAAGTTATAGCCTTTGTTTAAGGCATGGACTTGTAACTTATGTTGGTGAGGTTAATGCCGAAGGCCGACCTCACGGACGCGGTGAATGGGTTGATGATTCATTTGATGGAGAGTGTTTAAAAGGTAAGTCCTCATGATAATAATTCGTCATTTTCAAATTTCAAATTATCTTATTCTAATATTCAAAATTGAATTATTCTTCATTCTTTCAGGTATTTGGGAAGGTAAACTTAGAAATATCTTAATCATGCATAAATACACCTAGAAAATCATTTTTTAAAATATTTTCTATCCTATATTAGACGGAATGCCTGTTGGACCCTTTCAGGCAAGAGGCACAGGTACAGGAGACGCGTTTCATGCGGTTCGAGTTGGACTTGTAAAAAATAGATATACTCCGTGGGATGAATGGAGGTTTTACCCTAGACCCTATAAAAGTGGATTAGATATAATAGTTGCTTCTGTTGAGTGCTCTGTTTCTGGCAAATATTTAAAGCATCTTCCACGATCCACATTATTAATTCCACAAAAATTCGATGAAGAATCAAATAAATTAACGATGAATGATTGTTTGGAATATTTGACAACATTTGTTGCCTCCATGGGACCTGATTTTGATTCCAATGATGTGACGCAATCGTCAGTGATAATTAGAATGAAAGATGAAGGATTTGCGATTACAGGGTATTACCCCATTGATAAAAGTACCTCACGTAATGAGGTAGTTGTAAGAAGGGTTCCTAAGGAAACAAGTGATCATTTTAATATCGAGTATACTCTCAAAATAGACGGCTGGAGACCATATGGCACCACTAGTGCATCGGGACATTGCGAGGGTTTATTGGTAAGATATGTTCTTACTTTGATTTTATTATTATTATTATTATTTTTAAGAAAAAACTATTTATATATATATATTGTTAATATTCAAAGGGAAATTTTTATTTTTCACTAGGAATGTGTCGTTTTCATACATGGGTTCAATTGTCCGTCAAAGTTTGCCTTGGAAACATTTGGACAGTTTCTTGCATTGGCCGATTTTCCTAGTTACATAAAACCCTTTGTGTTCTCACCAGCGAGTACGAATTCTTTGTGGTATTTTGGAGTCAAAAAGCAAGCATCTTCGGAAGAAGCGATTAATGGTAAATATAATTTTTTCTAAATTCTATTATTAGCAAGGAACTTTTACGTTAATTAATTTTACATATAATGTCCATTTCTAATGCTGTTTAGATTTTCTGACATTTTTACAAGACCTTCGCGATGCAGGATTTTGCGCAGTACATATATTGAGTCATTCGATGGGTTGTATGTTGGCACTTCAATATGCAAGAGTATTTGAAGAAATTTTTCAAATGAAAAGTTCAGGTAAAGGTCAAGATCCGGAGGGAACATTAATGAAATTATCGACGGTTACTTTGCTTAATCCTGATACCTCTTTAAATAAATTCCTTAATCAAGATTATGCTAATTTGAATAGATATTGTGATCATATTACAATATATTCAAATGAAAGAGATTTTGCATTGAAAATAGGGGAAATCTTTGAACGTGAAAAAAGTTTGGGAAGACATACACGTGACATGAAATGTCGTGATGGAAAATTTTTAAATGTTGATTTGATTGATACAACGCAATTGGATGTTAATATGCACAAGATTAGACATAACTTTTTTAATTTGAATAGATTGTTGGTAGATGATTTACGAGACATTATAGTCTTTGGTAAAAGAGCAAAGGAAAGAAGAACAAAACTGAGTAGAAAAGTTAAAGGTGTTGGGTTGGAAGGTATTGTATATACTTTCTTGGTTGCTCCAAGTTACGTCGTTAATAAATGAAATCTCGCGGCAATTAACGTTTCGCTTATAGGATGGGAAAAAATTTTTTTTTTTTAATTTGATCAATCATAGTTTGATCATTGGCGATTTAACTTCGGTGTGTCTCAATAAAATTTAATAAGTCACACTAAATTATATGTAATAATTACAAAGGATAAATTTTATTTTACACGAAAAAAAAAATTTTTTTTTTTTTTTGGATATTTTACAAGATTTTGATTAATTAACCAATGATCGCAAGAAAATTATTCCAAAACAAAATTGTTTGTATAAACTGATTCTAAAAATTTTCGTTTGGTTACATCTTTAGAAAGGGTAGATCTAGTACTAGAATACTTGACGATCATATCAACATGTCTTTTAGATAACCCTTTTTCTTCACCAAAATCTCTAAATATTTGTATCCAAACCTCAGAAGGAACTTTTACTAAAACATTAGAGTTGAGATTATTTAATAATAAAATTCTCGCCTTACTCATTAATTCAATAATAGAGACCGTTGAGAATGAATCAAATATACGATTTTGATGAAAGTAATTTAAAATGCTTGAATACAATTGAATTTTCCTTCCGTCTAAATGAGCAGGGATCGAAACTCGATGAGAGGATTTTAGTAAATACAGCGAATCGAATTTTGAAAAGTTCACACCGGGTTGTAAATGTAAACCTTTAGTATTGAAATTAACGTAAACTAAATTTGTGTTGTGTAATAAAGCTTCATCTAGTTTTTTCAAGAATTCGAGAGAAACCTCAGAATTTAATTGAGACAGATCAATATTTTTTAAAACCTTATTTATCTTTAATAAATCCGCGATAGCAGATAAACCTTTATCACCAATGTCATTATTTTCCAAAATCAATTTTTTTATAGAACGATTTTTCTTTAAAGCGTCAACGATTAATAAAATACCATCATCATTAATCTTGGTATCACCTAAGTTCAATTCGGTAAGAGAATTATTTTGTTCAATGAGTTTCGCAATAGATTTCGCTCCTTCATTACCAACTTGATTAAACCTCAGAGAAATTTTCCTTATAGGACGATTAAATTCTAAGATACGATTGATCATAACATCAATCTCTTGATGATTTAACATTCTTCTCGAGAGAATTATATCGATAACGTTACAACTTTCAGGTTCATGACCAACTTCATGACAAATTAAACAAATCGTCGGTAGTTTAAACCTATAAACCGATCCAGGATTTTTCATTGTATTTCCCGAAATCAAATATTCATTCCGATTACGAGATAAATGAACCAACAAATCATTTAATGATTCAAGTTTGGAGATTCCTTCATAACGAAATGTAAACCTTCCACTGTGTCTAAAATATTGTAAATATGAAATGGTTTGCCATGGTAATAAAGATGTTAAGAGTTGTCCATTTAATGTTGAATTATGAAGTGTTACAGGGTATTCTTGAGGTTTTGTCGAAGCTGTAGAAGGAGGATTTCTTGTTGGTCGAGCCATGAATTTTGAATTTTGAAAATGAAATTATGAATTTTAAATTTATTTTATTTTTTATTTTTTTAAAAAAAAAAAAAAGAAAAAATTTTAAAAAACTTTTTTTATTTTTTTTTTGGTCTAATATAAATGGATTTTTCTTGGACTTATCAGTTAAATCTTCTTATGGTCACAAACAGAGAGTTTCCATGTCACGGTGCTTATCTAATTTGAGAAGCAAAAACGATTTGGGAATATTTTATTACAAATGTATAATCTCTTTCCCTTTTACGCCAAATGGTAATCGATAATCATGAAAACATGCTGTGATTATCATATGGGTTGATTGCTAGGAAAATCAGGTTCCGGGAATTTTTTAACAAAATTGAGATTTTTATTGCATTTTAGTTTTTGATGTTATTAGATTAAAATGTATTAAGCTCTTAATTTAAGTGAAAAATTTCTCGGAACCTGATTTTCCTAGAAACCCTCCCATATTGTAATAAACGTGATCTATTTTCTACATTTTTAAACTATAAAACTAATTTTTTTAAAATAAAATTTATTTTTGTTTTGCCCACCTTTATTTGTTTCACATTTAAAAATTTAATTGATAAGATTTTGATCGAATTTTCTGTTTATATTGAAAATTTAAAGATTTAAAAAGAACCCAGCACGTTGTGGAACTAACAGCAAATTCCATGTAAATCACGTCTGAACGTGAAAAAATATACAAACTTATGTACAAAGAACAAAAAAAAAAAAAAATCACAACTTATATTGACTCAAGAAGATAGAACCAACAATTTTAAATCCTATTTGAATTATAGGTGTAAGGGTTCCAATAATCCTTATCCAATGTTCTCTGCTTCGTTTAATTTCCTCGATTTTTTTCTTTGTCGCTTCCAATTCTGATTCCTTTTCACTTAGTAACATGGTTAGAGATTCATCACGATTATTCTGAATTTGTTGTAATAATTCAACGTTTGTAACATTTTGACGTTCGAGATTTTCATCTAATTCTCGAATTTTATTTTTAAGTCGAAGTTCAACTTGTTCATGTTCAGATTTCAATTTATCATATTTAATTTGCAATTCTTTTTCCTCGGAAGCACATTCCAAGTATCGTTGTTCAGTTTCTTGCATTGATTTGATTTGATCTGCCAATTCGCCTTTGAGAATTCCGAGCGATTTTAGTATTGTAATCGCATCTTGATATTCCTGAGATTTAAATCTTGCCATTATCTTTTCCGTTTCCGGACAGTCTATTAAGGTATCTAATACCTCTCTCTCAAAAACTGCGATCGCATTATCGAAATCTTCATGGGACTACGTAAAAAATTCGTTAATACAATTTCTGTTTAAAGGGTTAAAAAAAAAAAAAAGGGAAAAGGAAAAACCTTACCTCAAAGCGGTTATCTTTGTCGAGACCAACCTTTACGTTTCTATCCCATAATTCTTTAGCCAATTCTATGTTCAACTCGTATAAAGATTCGGAATTTATTCTACGAAATTCTTCAAATTCTCTCCCGATCAATTTATTTAAATCGCGTTCATAATTCTTTATCTGAATTTCATCTCCGATAATCCTTTTGAAAAATTCTGTTTCAACTTGATTAAAAACATTTAGGTGAATTTCATGAAAGTCGGTCCAATTAAATACTTCGACGTGCTGCACATTTTCATCATTGTCGTTCCCGGATCGTAACAAGAATTTCATACTCGTTACGTACATTTGAACGCAATGATCAATGGTTTTGTGAGCAATGTATTCAATAATCGATTCGTATTCATCCGGAATCGATAAATGAAAATTTGAAGTTTCAGATGTATCGTTTAATTTATTGACGCACTCTTGAAGGAATTTCGTGAATGGCACCCCTGACATGGTAGATGAACCGATGTACTTTGGTGCCGAGGTAGATAAAATCTTATTAATCGAAATAGTGGCTTCCTCGACGAATTCCGATTGCAAATCTGACGTTGATACCTTATCCAAGTTTTGTAATTGAGTACGGTCTGACGCTGGCATCTATAATGGATTAGAAATCATTAAATTATGAAAAACCTCCCCTACCCGATAAGAATTAATACGCTACCGGTAGAGCAAACACGTCAAAGTGGGAGAAATATTTTTTAATACCTTCTGCCGCTAATATGACAAATAAAAAATTAAATTTGTGTGAGATTTTCTAACGAGAATATCACATACATACCTTGCTCATTAACCTGACTCAACCTATTTAAAAAGTAATCCCTAAAATCATCGGGATTTTGTAACATGAAATCCCTAAGTAATACCACCATTCTGGGTAAAAATTGATAATCGGGAGGAGGTTGAATATATTTTGTTAAATGGGACATCAAAAATAGCTTCCCTATGTCCTCCCTACCAACAACACCATTTAAATTATAAATGAATGTTGAAGATATCGTTAAACATAGTACGAATAATCTTATCGCCCATTGTTGATTTTGTTTGGGATCGTCGATCCCTTCACAATCTAACACGATAATCCGTTTTCCCTCATGGTAGAATGGTTGATCCCACATATATATTCCTTGGGTACATCCATCCACTGTCGAACCTAAAAGAAATCCATTATGTCTACCGAGCAATAAATTCGCGAACCATGATTTCCCTCTACGATATGAACCCACTTTTTTTTTTTTTTTAAAAAATAAGGGTTAAAATGTTTTGCGCGGGTTAAACAAATGCTAGCAAGATGAACATGCTCAGTAAGTCGGAGCGCATACCAACGACAATGACAGAAATGGGTTCTTCTATCGAATTAATGATATTTATGGCTTCGTCGTTTAATACAATTTTTCCGTATTCGTTATTGATGTATTTTAGAAGTTGAATTGGATTCCCTTCACGATACGGAATTCCTTTACCAAATTTATTTATATAATCGGACATAATTATAGGCAATTTTTTATTTTATTTATGAAGAAAGAGATGTGGAGAGGAAAAAAATTTAAGAAAAAAAGATTCGATTACTTTATCATCAAATTTATAATGCTTTTCACAAAATTAAAATTTCCTCATATTTTCAATTTTTTTTCCTCCGGGACATTTAAAAAACAAGCTTTCGTACCATTTTTGCTTATTTTGTTTTAATAAATGAAATAAATGGTTAGTATCATGGAATATCAATTACAATTAAGTGAATCAAAGGATAAGATAATGTTATTTTTTTCAATTGATTATGCGGGTCTCGTTGTTTTTCTCACTTGTGTAGCACTAAGCAGGAAAATCATGTGCGCAAACATTATTTTTTTTCACACTAATACACTTGGGGAGAATTTTAATCATATGATCAAAAAACAATTCTGAGAATGGCGTAGTTTAAGTAGAATGAGAAAATTCCAAGTTTAGATTGCACGATTCGTCTTAAATGAAAAAGTACCGAACATGCCAAAACTCAGACTTTTCGAATAGTAGCATACAAATTGATAAAGAATCCATAAAGCAGAAGGTATGATTTAGTATGAGTGAGTGATCATGTGACCAAGTGTAGCATATAGGCACACGAAGACATTAATGAACAGGGCGTTAAAATATCGGATAGCCCCATGATATTAGAATTAGTGCGTATGCCAATATAAAAATAATGTCGCGATTAAAAAAATATCGGTACATAAAATTTTGCACAATCCTTCCTCACTACACGAGAAGGTTCTTTTAGCCGGTTTTTTTCTGATGACCTCTTTTAACTCGTTGTGTGATATTATTAACATTTTTTTAGGACTTTGATGACAAAGAAGACTGGTAGTTACGTAACTCATACGTCATTTAAATCATCAATCACGCAATTTTTGTATATCACTCGCTTTGATCCAATTTTAGAATTATTTCCGAATAACCATTTGTCATCAAAAGAATTTTTTTTTTTTTTTTTTTGTATAAAAATTCTCAAATTCTCATTCAAACGAAAAATACAAAAAAAAATAAAAATTTTTTTACAGGTCACCAACTTATAAAACTTCCCAACCTTTCAGATTTTTTTTTTTTTTTTTTTTTCCTTATTACGAAATTACAAATATGCCTATTATAATTAATAATAAGGATGAGTTCAATCAGTATCTCAAAGAAGGAAAACTGGTACTCATTCTTTATTTTACTTTTTATTTTAAATACAAAAAGGTGGTCTTTATAATATTCAACACTAACTTTTTCTTTCTCTCTCTCTTGAAAAATGTTCAATAGGTTGTGGTAGATTTTTGGGCAGATTGGTGTGGACCTTGTAGGATGATGGCTCCAGTATTTGAACAGCTTTCAAAGGATTTCCCAAATGTACATTTTCTTAAGGTCAACTCTGATGATCACGGAGTAAGTGTCGATTCTCTTGTTATGATTACGTTATCGTATACGAAGACACGTCTTTGATTTTTTTTTTCTTTCCTTGCTCTTTGAATAAAAAAAAAAAAAAAAAAAAAAATAGGATATATCGCAAGAATATCAAATTCGAGGTTTGCCTACTTTCTTGTTCTTCAAGGAAGGGCAAAGAATAACAGAGGCTGATGTCGTCGGTGCCAATAAATCCCTTTTAGAAGATAATGTTAAGAAATATCAATAAATATAGATGAACCCATGTTACATATTATGGAAATCTGATTTTCAATTTTTTTTTTTTGAAATACAAACTAGCCAGTATTTTTGTTCTTGGCAATCAATAAAAAATAAAGTTAATCACATGTGATACAGATTTTTTTGTTAATTGCCCATTGATCATTACACTTTATTTACCCATTGGTATAATAATGATGATTACGTAATAGGGCTTTTGGGGCTTTTGAAAATGAATAAAAGGACGGATTTTATTTCACAGTTATTAATTATTAGTAAATCTATATATTATAACCTTATAAAAAAAAGAATTACAAAAAATGGGTGAAGGTAAGAAACAAAGAAAAAAATAAATTTAGGCCATGATAATCCATTTTTATTTATTTATTTATTTATTTTTACAAGTTCCGTTAACGATGTACGCTCTACAATTAAATGAATTTGGTCCCGCGTCCAATTTAAAATATGTTGAAGTGAAAGTTCCTACAATTAATTCACCATATCAAATGATTATAAAAGTTATGGCGGCTGGAGTTAATCCTGTCGATTATAAATTTAGAAAAGGACTGTACCCAATATCGAACATCATTGGAGTTATTAAGATAATAGGATCCGATTTTTCCGTAAATAAATTAATACACATACAGTATAAATGAATATATATTATTTTTTTTTTTTTTTAAAAAAAAAAAGATAAAATTTAAAATTTCTTTTAGGGAATCGTTGTCGCTAAGGGAAGCAAGGTAACGGAATTTAACATCGGAGACCAAGTCTTTGGTAAAAAAAATCCGTATTTTGGAGGAGGTACCTATGCGCAGTATGTATAAAATTATTTTTGATTTTCTATGTGCGTTTAGATTTAAGGTTTAATTTACGTTCCCTTTTGGTAGATATACGATTGTAAACATTAATGACGGTGGGATTGTAAAGAAACCTGCCACGATTACTCATCAAGAGGCTGCAGGATTTGGAGTTGCGGGAATAACGGCGTGGACCGGGTTGATTACTGTTGGAGGTTTAAAGATTGGTGAAGAAGCCAAGGAAGTTCAAAAAAAGATCCTGGTAATTGGCGCGTCTGGTGGTAAGATCAAATCAAATAAAAAAAACCAAATCTTGCTTGAATGTTGTCAACTTATTATTATTCTTCTTCTTTTATAAAAAAAAAATCAACCAGGTTGTGGGACTTATACAGTACAAATCGCAAAGAATATTAATAATGCGCAAGTGACAGCGATTTGTTCAGGTAAAAATGCAGAATTAATTAAAAAATTGGGAGCAGACCGTATAATTGATTATACCAAAGAAGATTTCGTTGAAGTATTAAAAGAAGAAAAAGAGAGTTTTGATTTGGTAATTGATTGTGTTGGAGGGGATGAGTTTTATACTAAGTCCATACCAATTTTAAAGAAAAAAGGCAACTTTCTCACATTCGTTGGACCCGATGCTTATGGTGAAAGTGCGTCAACCATTGACGTCATAAGGTTATTAGCCATGATTGCCAATAGAAACCTTTTCGGTGAAAGAAGTTATAGATTTGTACTTGCAGCATCTGGGAAGGATTTACCCAAAATGGTTCCGTATTTAGAGAAAAGACAAATCGTCACCGTTATCGATCGTGAATTTGACTTGAAAGATGGTCAACAAGCGCATGAAATGATTGAGAGTCACAGGACCGTTGGAAAGATTATCTTGAATTGTAATAATAATAATTAGTATTCAAGGATCATTGAAAAAAAAAAAAAAAAATTTTCTAAAAATAAAAATCAATTGAACCATTTGAACAATAATTTGGATTATCATGTCTTTTTATTTCACCATTTTTGGTCAGAATAGGGATCGGTGGTTACCTTCTTTGTAACACGATGGTTACGTTTGTCCTGATTGAAAATTTTTTGTTACGGTTTTTACCTTGGACATCTAAACACATTTTCATTTGGTATGCCTAGGCAAATGATTAGATTCATGACAAAAATCGTCTTGACCTTAAACGCATCTACTATTATAACATGAATCTTTGAGAGGAACGCGAGAATTAACTGCCGCCGCAGCTGAGTTTTCACGCAAATGTATAGTGTAACGATATACGAACGAATCTCCGAAATATATGAAATTTTTTTTCCTCAATGAAAACTGTAATACGTTACGTTAAAAATTATTTATCACAATCAATAAGGTCGTGTAACTCCATCCGGAACAAAGACCTCCGAGTTCCAAAGAGGGGTAAAGAATGAGTTACATGCAGTTATACGAAAAAAAAAAGATATTTAACGTACGATGAAAAATAATAAAAAAAAAATTAAAAAATATACATACATATATATATATATATTTTTTTTTTGTTTTTAAAAACGAGAGATCATGAGATTCATCTCGCTTCTAATCGTTCTCGCTTTAATAAAACAAATTTCAGCGGAATGTTATCAACCGGCGAATTTGTTAAAAAGTTTAAGTCAAATAAAACGAGTTGAATGCGGAGCATGGACAATCGAAGAAAAGATAAATGATGGGAACTCACCAAAGTTTAATCAAGAAGGGACACCTTCCGACGAATCGATGTTTCAAGTGACGTTTACGTGTGCATTAGTTGATCAAGATGAGTTATGTAAAAAAGCAGAAAATTCATTTATAAACGCCGGTAAAATAATTTCCAGCGTATTAAAATTAAATACAAAAATAAAAGTAAACGCTCAATTCTTCAACTTTTGTAAAACACCACCAAATTGTTCCATACGAGAGACGAAAGTTATTGGAGCGGCGGGACCAACAAATTTTTATTCACTAATGGATGAAGTTGACGGGTCAGAAAGATTGTACCCACAAGCGTTGGTTAAACAATTTAATTTTCAAGAGCATCCAATGTATGAAGAGTTTGACATATTAGCAATGTTCAATTCGAGATTTACCTATCATTTTGATGGTGATGTAACGCCAATGAAAGCAAATGATGTGGATTTTACATATGTCATAACTCATGAATTATTTCATGGATTAGGATTTTTGAGCTCTTGGTCACCCTTGAATGATCCATCCGGTCAACCGTTGGGTCTAATACCCGCAGTCGTTTCACTTGATAGTGGCGCTGATGGGCATGTTATTCCAAAATTTGATGAACCAATAACCGTGAAAGAGTTCATATTTGATAAATTCATGATTCGATTAGATGATGGGACTTTTATTTCCAATTATACCAAAAAAATTCATGATTTTTTTGTAGCAAAAAAAGATGTAATGGAGGTGATGACTTATGAACAATTTGAAAAGACCCCTGAATTTCGATTAATGCAGGATATGTTAAGATTATCAACGACTCCCAAATCTTTAGGATTCTTACCTCATGACACCACCGATTACATCAAGGATTCCGCAATATTAGAAACTTCTTATGCAAAATATGATGAAGGGTCCTCCGTATCACATCTAGACTTTGCGACGTATTTTAACACGAGTGATTTTATGATGATGGCCAAGGCCATTTCTGGTAAAACCCACGACGAATTGATCAAACGTAATGAAAGTTATACCGGTGGAATGATTGGTCCTAAAATCAAATCTATTTTGGAGTCTATGGGGTAAGCAATTAAATAAAAAAAAGAGGAAGGTAAATTTATTTAACTTTTAATTAATTTTATTCTTTTTTTTATTTAGGTATGCTACCGATGAATACCCGAATCCAAGTAAACCACAACCATTCATTAAACCAATACCACAAGATGCCAATAATAATGATGTGACATCTACAATAAGTTCTAATGCTCCGGTTTCAAATTCTTTATTTTTCAAATTTACAATTCAACTTTACATTATAATATGTATTGTTACCATTATAAATTTAATCTTATAACACGGGTGATCGCATTTATTAAATAAATTAACTTGAATGATAAATCAACCTTGGACGAATTCTTTGGTTGGATAATTTATTTATTTTATTTACTTTCTACTTTCTTATTCAAAAAAAAGAAATTTCAACGTTATTGTGGCGTACGGATTCTCGATGTTGTTTGCATCGGGATGGTGTTGAAATGGTATATACATCGATGAACCTTCGTAACAAACAACGTCTGTGTAACAATCAAATAAGCGAAGGGGATACACAAAATAAAAACTTTAACCCCACCCTTGCACGTGATTTATGATGGTAATCACATCAAAAAAGAAAAATTTCGGGTTAAAATTTGAAAAGTCTCGATCAAAAGAGATAACATTACCTTATGTATCCCATTTTAAGTTAATCTCCCCCAAAAGAATAATATAACGAATGGTCTGAATGGTCTTTAACTGAAAACTTTGTGTATCGTGTAGCGTAACAATTAATTGTTTTCTATTGCAAAAGGTCGTGTACGCATATATACAGTTAAACCTTACATGTAAGTTTTATTAAAAGGAAGAAATTAAAAAGGTCGAAATCATTTTTAATAATCAAATGAAATTATTAGATTTTTTTTTTTTTTTTAAAAAAAAAAAAAAAAACCGTAAAACGAAATTTCTTATTCTTCAAATCCAACGTTACAGGTTCATTATAAAAATAAAATTCGGCTTTTGAATGAATGAGTTCCTCCAATACGTTAGTAGCCAGTGTTGTCTTGGGACATTGTTGGGAACACGATCTGGACATTGGTGGGATAATGTGGGACATTCTCAAAATGCTTGACATTATAAATCATTTCATTGAATCATAAAGCCGACAGCATGTAAATCACGGTCAAGCATTATAATCGCGGTCGACAATATTGTTTTGTGTATGTTTACATGACAGAGATCTATTGAACGTGAGGTTACTAACACGATACCAAACTAACGTATCCACGAGGTTCGCCTATCTTATTTCGTTTTAAGCAGCAAAAGCGAAAGGCTGGGCAAATTAATCGGCACATGACTAATTTTTTATTCATTTTATTTTCGTGTGCATACTAATGAAAGAACTATCAAGCCATATCATACACGTGTAAAGGTAAAAGCGGACTTGTTTATTTCAGATTTAAGTACTTTTCATACATCAAATACATGTGATCTTACAAAGTAATATTTTTAGAAATCATAGAATATACATATAAAAAATATAAAACATATAAAAGAAACAACTTATTAAACGATAAGCTATCGCATATACTTAAACTAACGCGAATATAACGATATAAAACGATAAATGATCGATGAATCAGATGAAATCGTATAAAAGAAAATTTTTTTTTTAAAACCGAATAATAAAATAAGGGCCTAATCGAAATTTCGTAATATATAAATAAAAATATTCTTTAAATAAATCAATCCAAATGGAAAAATCCAGTTTCCAAATGAATCGATTAAAAGAAGACCGATTCAGATATATAAATTAATCAATTCGGCAAAGATTAAAACCATCCTTTGCCTTGTAATAAACATCATTCTACGTAACATGATCACTTGTCTCCTCCTCATTCTAGGTCGTTGACGATTATTATGATCATCTTGATTTTCTTGTTGAGAACCACGTCGTATATTTCTAAACATGCGAACGATTTTTTTTTAGAAAAGGTTATGAAAACTTCTATTTCCGATAGGATCGTTTTTACTTGCGAGAATTTAATCGTTTTATATGCGGGGAAAGAGCTTAGAAGATAAAAAAATACTTGTTTGAAATTCTAAGGAAACGAAGGGAAATAAAAAAATGTCTTAAAAAGTTTTTTTATTCCATGTATACTGAACGACTTTAAATATAAATTATTATAATTATTTATTATTTTATTTTCGCCATCTACCTGTCACAAAACCTTTGGCAAATCCATTTATTTTTAGACCTGCTATTTGAGAACATGTGTACATAAACTTTTCTATTTCTGGTTTAAAATTTATGATAAAGTTGACTTGCTATATGGACGGGCGAATGCAAGCTTAGAAATGTGGCAGATCGATAATTAATTGTGGGTAGGAAAATAGATTAAATGAGATTGAAAGCTGACATAATAATTGTATGCGGGTTGATTCAAGCACCAGAAATACGTGCTATTCTCGCAGCGGCTTGTATGCGCTGACATGAAAGTATTTTCCAAGACATAACATTATCCAAAAAAAAAAAGGGTTTGTAATTCTCCTAAAGGCTACAAAACGAGTTAACAAGTACAATGTATGAAGGTTATTTTTATCGACAGGATCATTTTTTCATTCTTTGGGTAAAATCATTTCATAATTCGTTGCTGCAAAGTGAGAACAAACGCCTGAACTTTCTTTTTTTTTTTTTGATCCATCATTTTAGGAGAACACCCTTTTTTTTTTCTCATCAAATATGCACGTCGTTGCATGTATAACAACTATAACAACTCTTTCATAATTTTGAACATAATTTATGTAATTTTTGGTAATCCTCTTTTTTCATGAATCGGTCACATGATTAATATGATAAATGACAAATTATCAATTTTTTTTAAAAAACAAAGCTGTAACTTTTTGCGAGCATTGTATCTCGCTTAAACAAATACGTATTTTTTTTTTTTTTTTTTTTTTTTGGTTCAGAATATTCACAATGTACAACAAAAAGCGAATAATACGAGTCGTAAAAATTTTATTACAAATATAACACCGTTACCGCAATATTCCAAGTTATTATGTATCTATCAAATGAAATAGCGAGGTAAATTTAGCCGAATTAATTCATTAATTTTAAGATTTCGTCGGTAATGTCAACCGAATTATATATTATAATAATCTTTGTAATAACAGAATTTACAAATTATGAAAGCAAATCTGTATTTATAATTTCCAAAACTTTGAATTAGCCTTCTTTTAAAAAATAAATAAATAAATAAATTCGGCTTATAAACTCATAGAGAACCTATCTTTGCAAAGCTGATGAAAAAAAAAGTGGATAAAGATAAAGAGGTTGAAATAATTTTCTCGAAATGCATTTGCCAAACAGAGATGAGCATCATATGATTTTAATTCAAAAATTGTTATCCTACCAATCAATAATACTATTTTGGAAAAACCCTTTAATTAAAAAAAAATAAATTTCAAAAACTTTTGACCAAGAATGGCAAATTTAATTTTAAGGCCATTTGGCCGGCCAAAAATGGTCAAGGATGACCAAAAATGGACGAAATGTCGGTCACAAACAAAACAAAAAGACCAATGAATGAAAATTTTGACTTTAAGAAAAAAATTTTTTTTTTTCGCTAAAGTGCAAATTTTCAACATAATTGAATGAACGAAAAATATGGATACTGTCACCTTTGTTAGTATATTATATGGTTTTGCTAGAATTAATTACATTAATGTATCATGTTATTAAAATCAAATGACTCTTTATATTTTTATTTTATTTTATTTTTCAACAAAATGGAACCTTTTGCAATAGAAAAGAGGGAAAACTGTCGAAAAATAAATGAGTTAATGCTATCTGAACATATTTTGGTCTAAATATCATATTTGGCATGTAAAAAGTAAAATTGATTTTTTTTCCGGAAGTTTTCCCCCATTTGCAAAGGTTCCAATAATATTTGCAAAAATCAAAAAAATTTTTTTTTTTTTTTTTCAAGCGTTACTAAAAAAATGGTGACGTTCCAATGAATTTAACACGGATAGTTATATATATCTCCCGATATATTTTTATCAAATATGTTTTTATTGCTCATTTATGTTTTATTAGCGATTTACGTCCTTTTTCTTTGATGTAGATTATTTGTTAACTAATTAAAAACGAATTTTAAAGAAAGGATTCGTACCCTTTTTGCCCAATAAGTAATATCGTTTGATATTAGGTTACATTGGCTAATTCATCTCATCAGATTATGCCAGAGAAACTATTAAATGTTTAGGGAATAATAACAACAATAATCATAATAAATTCTTTAAAGGATATATACCATATTTGATTGTTAAAAGGAAAAAAAAAAAAAAAAAAAAAACTTAACAGAAATTTTTGTGATTTTTGTACACGATATGCACATATCAGCCGCCTAGGTTCGGCTGTGAACAAATCTGCCAAGATTTGATCACCCACCTTTGATGAGGCTGAAAATCATTAAGGATAATGAAGTTGATAATAAAGAAACAAAAGTATAAATTAATTTTATATATGTATTTGAGGATAGATACGATTTTAAAGTTGTATAACATCAACGTAATTCAATAAAATCCAATTTGATAAAGGCGAAAAAAGATTAATGTAACGGTTTCACTCACTCGAACAATGTAAGAATGTTCTTTCTTTTTTTTCTTAGCCACAATGGAATTCATTGATTCACAATCATCCATTCATCGCATAATAGAAACCTTAAAAAAAAAAAAAAAATCGTTTTGCATGAACGCGTGGAAAAGATAATAATGAACGATGACAATAATAAGCAAGATTTCGAACTTATACAATGCGTTCAGCCCACGGGAAATCCCTAATCCAACTTTCTTTTCTACCTTTTTCTTTTTCTTCCTTACAATCATTCTAGAAGTAGGTTCACAAAAGAACCTTTCAATGTGCGAGCGATCAATCTATCATTAGATCTTCGTCCTTGGAACGACCATTTTTCTTTTGGATTTTCCATTGATTTGATTGACAACGCCAAATGCGTTGTGTGGTAATCACGTGATTGTCCTGAGTAGTAAGAATTTCGGTTTCGATAGAGAAAATCGGTGAGATAATGCTTGGGTCGTCGTAAGAACGATTTCGAACCTCGTTCCGCATATACATACATACATTTAAATAAATAAATATATGTTAAAGTAATCTCATAAGATTGCTGCGCCAATGCGTCAAGAGCGATGGAAGAGTCGATCGTGCAACGAGGCGAAACGAGATATATCCACCCATTGGATGATAAATTTTACTGCGGATCAAGTGCGATTATTTCTTCCTGACCCTGACTTTCTCCGAGGGAATCGGCCTTCAACGGTAAAAAGGGATGACAATTGTAACGTTGCGATTTCAAAGGCAACCTTTGTCTCCAAATTCGAACTTTTGATGGTTTAAATGGGTCCTCATTATGTATCACGGGTATTAATGAATCGCGTAAAATGCGAACGTGACGAATTCACGCGATCAAGTTTCTTCAATAAGAGGTGTAAAAAGAGTTTTTTATTATTGATGGGACCTTGTGATCATTAGGATAAACAAGGAATCAATCATTTTAAAGAAAACAAATTTACTGTTTTAGCACTTTTTCATTTAATAATTCATAATCGACACAAACAAAACTGCAGTTTCAAAGTAAAAAGGTTGTTTACATAAGAGCGGTAAAGATGAATGATGAGATATAAGCTTGCATTTGGCAAAGGGAGTTTCTTGTAACCTATTTACAAGTAATTAATAAATGCAAAGGTCACCCGAGACTAACCCACCTTGCTGTTCACAAGACATGCGATATCAAGATTTGAAAGAGGAACACGATCATCTCCCTAAGATTTCATAATCGTTTTTGGAATGAATGTAAAAAAAAAAAAAGATGAATGCCCCTGGTACAATAAAAAAATGCTTTGTTTAATCTCATCCGTATGCATTGTTTTGAGGCCCCCCACCCCTTCCCCCACCCCTTATTGACGACTTGTGGCAAATATGTGGCCTTATTGATAATACCTCAAGTGGCGTTGAGTGGTTTAACGAATATGCGATGCAAACTTTTGGCTGGTTTTTTTAAACTTTGATCAGATTCACATCACACAGGACTCGGATGTAATCGTCAATCGTGGCGCTCTCAGAGACCATGTGAGAACA